ATAAACAAGAGTTAGTAAAATTTTTCGTACTGTTCTAAATTAATCAAAAACTTTCTATGTGATTCGAACTGAAGAAAAATCGTCGGTATAGCGATCGGTATAATGCGCACTATACCGACTGACTGTGAGTGAGTGTACGGATCTTCTCGTCATATATACCCACTAATCTCCTATTTACACCCATTTCTCAATTGATCATTTATTTCTTTAATGGAAACTAGATCCTTCTCTTTAATTTTTCACTTGTTTAGTATTCCCGACAAGCCCAAACTAATAAGAGAACAGAATGATATCGTTATAGAAGCGTGCATTTTAGACAATATTGATGTACAGTATTTATTCAAAAAAGTCATTTTTCAAACACTTGATCTATCCGCCTGAGCTCGTGACTCATGGAATGGACTGGTTTTAGCCCATCTCATGCGCAGCTCGGATAGTAAGCAACTCGTATGGAAGTAAATTCAAAATGTGAAGTATTTTTATCTAATTAGATGAATTATTGCAGAACAAGTGAATCACTATACATTTTAAGAATAGTTCTTGGTATTTTTTATTTTTTAAGATATCAATTATTTGTTTTACTCTTCAACAGTTCCGAAAATAAGAAAGTAAATGAAAAATTGAAAACACATATGTTGCACAATAAAATTCTAATTTCTGTCCGATTACAGCTTGTTGTTATTATCGTTTTTTTTTATTTGAAATTCATCCTCGTATTATCACGTTCTGTTGCTTCCTATCTGTTTGCTATAAAATGATAAAGTTTTATGTTCTTCCTTTTTTATGACTGCTTCACTGGAATGAATCGAGCCAAAAAGAAGAATTGTCTTGTTTACTGTCGGTTCGTCAAGGTCGTCGACCTTTCTCTTCAATGAAAGAACAGTATATATATATATAACCACCTGATGTGATCTTTTGCTAAATTGAAATGCCTCATAATAACTACTGCATATGTCGTGTTTTCGAATAAAAGTTATCATTTCTAAACTCCACCTTGCTTTCATTCCCAAGATAGTGAGACTAAGTGTTCATTTTTGATTAGGGAGTCGAACAACTTTTGTTCTGTTTTTGTCGTCGTCGTCGTCGTATCTTATTTTTGTCTAAAATAGTCAACAATGCATCTCAGAGGATTTGTTGCAATTCCACTGATTCTTCTTGTGTCGCAAATTAATATTTTAGTGACGGAAGCTTCTTTAAACATGTTGTTTACAATGCAGAATAATGACACCAACAAAATGACCCAGATAGCACTGAAAGTCGCTCTCTCTCCCTACCTTCCTGATTCCGGTGGTGACAAACATAAAGGTCTACTTCAATTCATCACAGACGAGTTTAAGCAAGTTTATCCTGATATTTCCCTCCAATTACGTCCTATTGATTTCAACGATGATATTTATGATCTAAATGTACTCACTAAATGGCTCATGAGCGATGGCAGTGGATACGATATTGTCGAAGTCGATACTCTATTTCTAGGTGATCTTGTTAATGCTGGCCTTATCGCTCCACAATTTATTACTACAACTAGCCAGGCCGATTGGCATTCTGCTGCGGCCATTTCGGTACAGATGAATCAAGCAGTGTATGGTTTTCCACATCTTATGTGCTCATTTTTCCTTTTCACTCGTGATGAGCACATAGCTGCCGCGAGCACAATTGATCAGCTCATTACAGTTCTGGGCAGCACGCCCACAGATAATTATCGTCTGGTGGGAAATCTGGATGGGGATTGGTTCCTACCGGCTCTATGGCTTGCTAGTTTTCAAGGTAGCAATAATTCTTCATCTGAGGTTATGGTATTTGCTCTTCATGCTTATACAAAGAATTCTTTCGAAACGATGCACAAGTTTGTCGAGCTCTGTAATCGATCTGGAGACGAGAATCATTGTCTTGATGGAGCATTTAATAATGACAGTGATATACCAACTCTTTTATTTGCGCGTGATCAGACTGCAGCGATGTTTGGGTTTTCTGAAAAACTTTTTGGTGTTCTAAAAAATGGTAGCCCAGATGATTATACAAATGTCAAATTACTTCCACTACCCATAGGTAGTGTTCGCAATCAACCACTGCTTTTTATTGACGCATTGGTCTTTCGACGAAATATGTCCGTTGATATATTGAATGCCTCTCGTTTATTTGCTGAATTCATGGGCACACCTCGAATGCAGGCAGCCATAGTCGGTAGTGGTGACAGTCCAGGTAGCATTCCTCGTTACCTTCTTCCAATATCCAAGAGTGCGTACGATGAGCCACTCTTAGTAAATAACAGATTCTATCAAGAATACTTTCGAAATTTAAGCGGTTTGCCCTACCCTACAGTGGGATTTCCGAATGAACGTAAACAACTTCGAGCTGCCATTTTAGACTACATGGGATATAACAGAAGAAGAGGCAGCAACGCTATGTCACTGTATAAAAGGCTTGGAGATGATCTCCTTGTATATGTACTTGTAACACTATCAGTGCTCTATATTTCTTCAATTTGATATCATTCCTCTATTGTCACTATTATATGAAATACATCAAATTTCGATGGAAGCTATGTTTTCAATATTTAACAGTAATAATCATAAACTATACTCTATGGCTAGTCGTAACATCGAATGATTTTCTCTACAAGTGATGACATTTTAATCAACAACAATTTTGACATTCTAGCCAATTGATTCAAATTTGCACTTTTCTGCTTGTAGTTTTCTACGTAGTGCCATCAAATAAATGTGCTCACATAGCTTTTTCAATGATAAAATACTTTCATGACGAGATGTGATATTTTAACTTCAAAGATCAAGTTAAAGTGATGCATTAAACTTTAAAAGTTAAGGTTCTTTCTCAAAGAAGTCACTTTTCGTCAGAATGATCAAAATTAAGATAAATTCATGGAAAAATAGCTCGTGATCTGATCTTCTATAGACGACAAAAATTTTTTCTCGGCATCTCGTTTTTTTCAAACATTTTTGAAGATTTCTGTCATCCCCTATTTGAATAATAAACCGTTTTCGCAAAAAACTGAAAATATTGGTCGTTTTTTTTCGGTCTGTACATTTTGAAATTGTATCTCCAGTGTTATTCTATCACAGTACGAGATAAAGTCAAATATTTTTCTTTGTTTGGAAGTTCGTGTTTACGGCTCGCGACTTTCGTGGCTCTTTTTTAAAAAAAAGGCTTGAACAAAGAAAACATGTTATTACTTTTCCTCAAAATTTCGCTATTTCCATAGAATTTTGTATTTTTCTCAGGATCATGACGTGACACATCAATAAAAAAGTAAGAAAAAGAAGAAAATCGAAAATGGGGCAACGACAGTCGCTAGCCCCATGTGTCTTCTTAAAATGAGAAAATAAAATCCGCTTTATGTCTTAAGGTAGTTAAATGCACTTGGAGATGCGGAAGGCATCAAAATTACTACTAAAATTGACCTAGCTTCCGCTAAGAAAAAGATATAAAGCTGAAAATTTTTTTGTATGTGTAACTATCTACTCCCAATATATGCACAAAGTTTCAGTTCAATAGTGTGTTCTGGGTTGGAGATCCTATTTTGAGGGGGAGGCCTTAAAGTTAAGTTAACAATGTTTAGCGCGTCCTCAATAGTCATTTACGATTTCTACCTTAGCCTTATTTTATGTCTTAAAACAATCATTCCTACGACAAACAAGAACTCAAATTGAAGAATGGCACCACTAGGATACTCACAATTACATGAATGATCCTTTTTCTTAACTTAAAATTAAGTGAAGGATTGTTATATAGCCCTTACTATTAAAACAACAATCAGCACTCATCATTTAATTGGTAAGTTTCAGTCTTCTATTTAGATCTTAATTCACTTGAAATTTCATAATTAAGTGGTTGAGTACTTATTGTGAGGCAAATAGCATTTAACTTCAAAATTGTCACCATAGAAACGTTTTTTCTAGAAATAATGATTTTTTCTTATAAAGCTTGGTCTGTCCCAGTATAGCTTTATCATGATGTAGTCTTTGCCAGCTGAGAGAATATCATGAGAAGATCCGATGGATTGAGACAAAGCCATGCAGAACCATAATTGAAAAAGAGATAAACTTTTGGTGAAATTTGATTGGCTAAGACGTGATTTCTCTTAGTCAATCAGATTTCCAGATGGGGTTTCTCTTACCTAAACAGAATTTAGCATAACTTTGCTTTAGCTAACTAATAGAGAACTGTGATGAACGATGATTTGCTGAGAGGAAGTCTTACTGAATTCAAATGTTCTATTTTCGTGAAATACAATCTCCCTGACAAGATCGTCAAAGTCACAAACTTTCCGGTGTGCATTATCTGGTAACGTAACGAGAACTTTCCTCCTTGATGTGAGTCAGTAATTTCATTTTACAATTTGATGAAGTCGATGCTGCAAGTTCAAGTGACTCATGAGACAAACCTATTCACATTCAATTGATTGAACAATCATCCAAAGAGACACTTTCCTTCAACTTTGTTCAGTGTTCATAATTGGTTAGTGTCCTTTGGCTTTCTTCATGTGACAAAGGATCGATGGGTGGATGTGAGTGAAGAGAAGATCCACATTCTTAAACCTTAGTTATTGACTGACTCTTTTATAGTCTCTATTTGTCTTTTCTTTTCTACAATTTGTGGGTGTAGATTGATGAGTGGATGGAAACTATTCTATCACCATCATCCACACCTATCTGCTCGTCCATACAACAATGAAAAGATAGCATACATAAGAATAATGTATAAATACATATGATGTATGGTCTAATTATGACTGCATTGCATGTACATTCCAACTTTCAAAAACTTTTCCGTAAGACCTGGCATCTATTGTGCGCTTTTGATTCTTAGTAGAATAGAATGACATTTCAACAAAAAGGTTACTGTACACATAACACATTCGATCATCGAAAAACTTTGCTTCTTCACACAGTTCGTTAGATATTAATTGTTTATTGAATCGATCTGAAAAATTGGTTCATATTCTCGATTTTTATGTCGAACAAAGTAAACCACAAATTTCAGCTTTGTGACAATGTATTAATAATCTGTTGGATGTACTCGTCACTGAGCTGGTACACTGTTGCCTTATCTTTTGATGCACAACGACCAATATTGGAGACTTTTACTTCAGGATAGACACGCTGTGACGTTTGCTTCACAGAATCAAAATCGATCAGTTGTAAATGACGAAAGCCTGATTGACGTAATTTATTCCATCGTTTGTATGCCTATTGTTTTTTTTAATTATAATAAAATGAATTTTAAGTAGAATCGAAACAATTATCAATACCACACAATGATGAGTATGATCCTGATCAGGAAACCAATGGACGACGATATGAATGTTGAATTGTGTTAAAATGTTTTCAAAGTCCTATATTGAATACGAGATACTCATTCAAACAGATCATTCACGATTCTCTACTGTTCAATTCTCACATGCCATAGGCACACATGCAAAAAGAAACCAATGACAGATTGTCTTCATACCATTGACACATTACAAAAAAATCATTTTAGAAATTTTCTACTAATGAGAAAAAAATAATAAATAATGTTAATGCAAGAACGATTTCTATTGCTTTAACACATTAATAAACGAAGTTTCTTTCTGTGTTTTCATATGCTGGGTTGTTTATAACTGATCAAACGTCGTAATGAATTGTTTCGCATACATTTTTAATTGTTCTAGTCAAGCTTGCTTTGTTTAAAAAAGGTATACTTTGTAGCTAATTTGAAGATGAAGAAATCGCAAAATAGGTCTAATTCAATTTCCGTGCAATTTAGTGATTCGTTTGAACCGTAGTGAAGTGAACAGGATTTATAGAACTTTTACAGCAAATATATGATTTTTTGAAAGGACTATGCAGAACCTAAATCTGGATAGTAACTCGACTCTGATGATACTGCCTCGAAATTGAGCGAAAAGAACATTCTATGTATTCCATTGTTATGTATTCTGTTAGTGAAACAATTCAAGTGTAAACTGCATATCATTTTTCTTCATTTCGTTGTCAGTTTACCTCTTATATATATTGTACAGAATATAATAGACTGAAATTTTACCATTAAAAAGATTTGATTGACTCATACGTCTTTGCGAATATAGTGTTCAAAATAATAGATCTTTCACTAATATTACGTATAATTCATTCGATTAGATCGAGAGTATCTTACCCCGACTTTTGATTCGCCAAAGTCACCTATTACAGAGTTTGTGAAAACGAGATTGCGATCACGAAACCATAAAGGATATCGATTGATAGTGCGTACTGTAGTAGCTGATCCTCCTGCTATTTGGTCAACAATCACATAGATGAGAGAAGAGTGTGACTGACATACCGCACGTAGCAATTACATTGACAGGTTTTCTAATGTGAAAACTCGAAAGAATAGCAACGACAATCTCTGGTGCATGTCGTTTCCAGCTCGCTTGGTTTAAATCACGGCCACTCGATCGACCGAAACCTGGTAAATCAACAAGAATCACTGAATATAAACCTCGATTGTACAACGGTTCGGTCATTTTTGTCCAACTACAATAAGTTATGTTGCTCATAGTGGAAGTAAAAGTAAGAAAAACTCACGTTGTCCAATTCTCAGTTTCATCGAAGCCATGAAGAATCAGAACAAACTGTCGATTGTCACTATTCAAAGTCATTCATAATCCAGATATCTCAACAGAATAACTCGATACAAACCTAAGAACATAATTGCCATTGATTTGGTATGAATCCTCATCGATTTTGATCGAAATCACTGTACTATGCACATTTGTGACCAGCCATTCTCGTTCGGCATCACTTTCAAAAACGATTCGAGAACCAAATAGTTCCTTGGCTTGTGACGAGAGTATTTCCCGATCATGCCGTTCGAATATAACATTTTTTACTTAAAATTAAAAAAAAATGACGAACTATTCAAAATTATTCCGACGAACCACCTAGGAATCAATCGATTCTTGCTCTATCAATTCAAATTCCTGAAATCGATCGGTAAAGAAATCGAATTAATCGGAATTTGAACTAATACATCTCTAAATGATAGACTCACATTGTGTTCGAGGCGATACATTGCATGGATCTGAGCAAGCAAAGTTTTGCAGCTCGAGTTGTATTTGCGAAGAAGTTCGTAATGGAGAAAAACTATGGACTTGCCGTTTTTTCACTTCTTCAGTAGTTGTTCGCTTTGTTCTAATCATCGTTCTTTTGCTGACAGTTGTTGATAACGAGTGTATAAACTTATTTCTAGTTGATACTTTTATGGCAAGAAAAATTCAGTATATATACATATATAATATTTTCATTTTTATTTGATTCTGAATCATCTTTTTCACTCATTATCTCATCGTTTTATTTGTCGACACATAAGTAACTATGTGCATACCACTTGATAATATGTTGTTGTATCTATTGAAAAGATGACGCATGTATAAAACTTTAATTTGTTCAATAATATTTTTATGCTGGTAAAAATGAGTCATCTAGATGTGTTTATTTGATTTGTCGTCATGACTTTTGTAATTTCACGTCACTCGTTCAAAATCTTGTTGATATGTGTACATACTGACGCATGGTCGAGATGAGTGAAATAGTAGTCAATTACACTTGCTACGTTCGTTCTTACCTGAATCATTCTTTCGTTCTGTTGTTGATGTAAGTTGTCAGCTTTAGCGAAAACTTATTCGTCCTCTTTTCGACATATCTTGTTCTGAAAAATTGTGCATAACAGTATGAAAAGTATTACTAGTAGTGAATAAGCATGACTAAGAATAACAACAAATGACAACGCATAGCAACCAACCAAACATTATTGATTGATCGTAGCAGTCTAAATGAGTTACAATAATAGTTTGAAATTATTTTAACTGTACACTGAAAACCGATTTTTAAGAGACATGGCCAAAATTAAACATATAAGAAGTGTGTCTTAATATCTACTGAAATTTTATGATAATTCAGTTTATTGAAAGAAGGTTCACAGCCAATCTACCAATGGAAATATCTGAAGTGCAATTTCACTCATTTGCTCAAACAGTTAACGCAGATATCCTTTGCTATACAATCGCCAATGTTAATCCACAATATTTTCCTAAGCATACCAGTCACATTCGAAAGCACAGATCATTCACCCTGCTGTGTTTGATGATATTAATTGTTTCCTAGAAATGATTCCCTTATAAAGCTAGTATGGATGAATACACGTCATCGTTGAATATATTTTTCAAAAGCTCGACTTATAGCATTACCTTTTCACACGGTATGAATCAGAGATGTGCATCACACCTAAAAACAGGTAGGAGAATGCGTATGACGACGGTCGTCGTCAGATGGTGATCAAAGTGGTTAACACTCTAAAGTCTTTTCGATTAGCAGTACGACTGCTCCATGTCCTACTTACTTGATGGGCGCATAGCAGTCGCACATAACGATAACTGCAGAAATTTTTTCGCCAGTATTTGATTCATATTTATTGCGTGATAATATTTCTTTAAAAATAGCGTTGGATTTATTGACACTTACGTATGAACAACAACATAAACTGGAAATATCACGAAAGAATATTTAATTAGGCAAGATATAACCAAACCCATACAATACAAACTTATGTAGTACTCATCTTCATCTGAACTTATATTCCACTTCAATTCGCACAAACTGGAGTTTGAAGTGAATTTGAATATTATTCTGATCACAATTAAACTCATCGAATTTTGAGTTAGGTCGATTTATTATCCGGATAACCTTTAATCGATATTTATAATGATTTAATTTATGAATTTAATAAATGAATATCAAAATAAGATGATAAAACTAACATTATTTTGTATGAAATGAATCTGTTTTACGTGATTGGAATACTTCCAGCGATGAAAACAAAATTTGTTTTTTCATTATATCTGATTTGATAGAGCTTGTTGCGCTGATCACGAATATCATATTATTAGAAAGACTCGATCGAGTAATAAGAAAGTTATCAAGGGCTTTCCCTATTGGTATGCTATAGAATTTTGAGTAAGAAATCATGTCATTTTTGAATCACACGCCGTTCTAAAACGCTCTTTGAAATGTTCAAGTGACTTCAGTATAACTCAACTTTTTGTTCTCTATTTAGAGCTGGAAAGTGTTTCAGGAATACTACTGTCACTTTTTCGATAATAGCACCTTACGGGATCCGATGTTGTATTACATATAAGAGTTTCTCTAAAGTTCATACAGCGTAGTCTCATAAGAGAGCTTCCATCCACTTCGAAACTTCTATCGTATAAAAAAATATGTTCGTTCTTTTTTATGGGTTGATTTTTAAAAGTAAAATAAGCGAACCAGATATCTTACAGTCTCTCATAACACATATCGAAAGATCGAAAAGTACCAAATTCACATCAAACGACTGCCTGTTTATATTTCTGTTAACACAAAATATCATTGATAATTATTAGATAATATTTGTTTTCAAGGGAAGTATTGTATTGATATGTTTGAGATGAAACATGTTTCGACTGCACATATAGAGGCTTTGTAGGATAGATAAAGAACGACAAAGAGTTATATGTGAACATCGTTCTGGTCATTGTAACTGGAATTCTTTTTTTTTCAACAACACGTGGTCGACTCTTTCTCTTCCTGTTTCTTAGCCGAATCGTATCGAAATAAAAATTACTTTTGAATATATGATCGTTGGTTACAAGGAGAATTTATACATTATGGTTGATACTACTTCGTTTCTGATCCGAGTCTCAGAAAAGGCAACCGCGCGTCATTGTCACTCTTGTTCCAGTCAATTTCGTGGTGATCGTTGTAAACATATAGATTGCAGTTTAATTGTATCTAATATATGCTATTGTCAATACTCAGATACTGTTTGTTCACAACCCACTTTAGACGAATCAGAAGAAATTGATAATACTTACAACATACATGCCGATATTATTACTTATTATGAGCCACAAATTAGCCATTATTGTGATTCTGAAGTTCAAACCGAGTTTACTTTTTCAATAAATATACCATGTTCATCATAGTGATCGATTCATTCAAACGTTCAATACTCGACGTTGATCGATTTCATGTACCCTTTATTTCTACCGTTTCATTGATGGCCAAATCCCACTCGAAAATGTTCCGTGTGCGATATTTGCTTCTCCAGCACCTCAATTGAAATTCTTGAATGCGCTTGTATTTACATTTTTCTTAATGAAGAGCTATTTATTCCATCTGATTGTCGAATTTACGAGAAGCATCTCGTCGAAAATTTTTGTGAAAGTCATCAATGACCACCAGTGTTGTTTAACATTATCCTGATTAAATGCAAAATAAAAATTGTAGATTAACTAATGAAAATTCAAGCAAAATAAACAATGAGTTAAATATACTTAGTTTGAAAAATAATGAACAAATTAAACAACCTCTTATGAAATTAGTAACTCATATGGTTTCACAACCAATGAATATCACATATGAACAGCACTGTATCGTGAGCAATTTGACAAATTATGTTCTGTCATTTCAATATCTGTTATTTATACCACAAAGTTACGTTCGTCACAATAAACAATCAAATCCTTATTGACAAAACTGCGGTAAGTACTAATTCATTAAACGCTAGCTATGTTATTTGCTCTTTCTGATCTAGAATCGGTCACTTGTGTTTTTTAAGTGTTACTTCGGCTTTAATAAAATATTTCGTGCCACGGAATCTTGAATTACAGCACATCAGTCGTGAGAAAATGATGAGAGAGCGCACGAGACCTCTTGCAAAAGCAGTTTTAGCCGATAATCAGAACAAGGTTTGTACCTCTAGGTTTTTGTATGTAAATCACAACTGCATTGTTATGACGAATGTCATGGCCGATGGCCATGATATATGTTCTAGATGAGCTTCTAGACACTCTTCATTGCATTCTTTGCTTCTTTTTTTTCTCTTCTCTGGTGTTCTTTTTTCCTCCTCCTCTTCTCTGCCTCTCTTCACATGAGTCACTCTCTGAGTAGGAGAGCATGGTTGGCATGTTATACATGAGAGGAGGATGTGTTGGAAGAGGAGGATATATATTTTTGTTTTTTTTTCATTGTTGGGTGTGATTTTTTTTTGTGTATGTTTTTCGATATAAAGAAATGATGATATGTCTTGAAGGAGAAGAGAGCTCGTTCATTTACTTATCAACGAACGAGAATATTTAGTAACTAAAACCTTGAAATTCTATTAGTTGATGGTGATAACATGATTAATCTGAAAAGTAAAGGCTAAATTTTCAGCTCTTTGTCTTATTTCGCTCATAAATCTTGGACATCTTAAAAGTCATATCGATCGAGAAAGACTTTTCTAATTTGATTGTATTTATCTGATTTTAATTATATATATCAAAGTAATAATTCTTTTTTTCAAGAGATGACAATAACTAGCTGTCATGAAATGGGATTGAAATCTCTCAATAATTCACTCATAATGGAAAGCTTAAGCCTGGTGTAGAATAAAACTCTTCTTTGTAGAGTTACGGGCTTTTTTCGGTTAACATGATGATTTTAATATTTGTATTTATATATATTTGGAAAAATTTTTATACTAACCATACAATTTACCAAAGAGAAACATAAAATTCGTTTTTTTTTTCGAAGAATTAATAGATCATCATCAACTAATGTAATTTCATGCTAATGAATTTTA